TATTCCTTCATACCCAGTTACTCGCTAGATCTTTGTCCATCATACTTTTAAGATTGTGAAGGCTTATTCTTTGTTCTTTTTGTCTTTTCAGAATGGACGAGTGGAGAAACTCCAGCGTATGCGATGGTGTATCACAGAGGGGCTCCAGTCTGAGTTTAGTCCTGGACCCAGAATTCCTAGCGCTAGCATGTTACCACGATTTCCTGGTCAACATGGGGATGGTCTACTCCCTACTCCCATGTTTCCTTTTGGACCAGTCCCCCCTGCTTTTCAGAGTGTCTCAATGCCAAATACTGCATTCTTCCCTGCTGGAGCTAACATTCCTCAGATACAAAATGCAGGGATGAATGCAAGGCGAGGGCGTGGACCAAGTAGCAAACAACCTGTTTCAGGACTCGGGGGTCAGTTAGAGGTGGCCGGTGTTCCCATTGCAAGGTGGTCGGGTAATAAGGCTGGGCGTGGCTACAGCGAAAGGGAACGTATTGTTGTTGGTGGTCCTTCAAGTGTAGAAATGGGTCGACCTAAAGCTAGGCGAGGTCGTGGCAATCCCCAAAGAGGAAGACGTAGTGCAAGTGCTGGCACCCGCAACGTCACCTGGGCAGTTGACGTAGATAAGGAGTATGACCGAAGCATTGGTTACGTTGAGCAACCGACAAAACCCAAGAAGTCCACAAACATCAGTCAGGTACGAGAAGGTGGTGATGGTGGAAATGATGTCCCGTTGGTAGCTCGAGGACGAGGAGATGGTGCCAACGATATGGAAAACCCTGTAACAGACAGTCTTGGAGGTGGGGGACCCCTGCAGGGAGGTATACACCCCCACCCAATCCCTGGGCATGCGGCGGTAGTGCCTCATTCAGCCCCGGTACATTATAATGGTCAGCCATATGGTACACCTTCTCCAGAGATGCCGCAGATGCCAGTGGAACCTGGCTTGGACAAAGTCCTAGGGGGTCAAGTTCCTATCATCCTTGCCAAGCCTGGTGACATACCGGTGCCCACAGGGATAGTGAGGGGTCGCGGAGTCAGTGTGGCCATGGGTGGGGAAATGCCAACATACAATGTACCAGCTGGAATTGTTGACACTGGATCTAAAGGACGTGGCTGGTGGTGGGAAAAACAACAACAACAGCAGCAGCCTCAGCCGCAGCCACCGTTGTGAACTCTACAGTGATACGTAAAAATAATAATTGTGATAGAATCAAAAATGGTTCATTCAAGGACAATTCACTTGCTTTCATTCAGTCTTATCAATCCTAAAAGAGTCGTAATTTCTGAGGTTTGATTGGGGGTAAGACAGCTTTGACTTGTCACGGTTAAAAAGTACATTGTAACTAAACCCAGTTCATGTTTCTCGGTGGGATGTTTTTGGTAAGGCAGAAATTCTGTCATTATGCTCCATAATAATAATAATTATTATTGTAGTTAAAAGATGCAGTTAAGCATCATTATTTTGAATGTATAGTAGTAATATCAATGTACATTATTGATATTAATTTGCATTAAGTACTGTTTTGTAAACCTTCAACCCCGGAGTCCTGACATCGAAACGAAGTCTACTTTTGCCAAAAAAAAACCAATTATTTTTCGTAGTTGCATCAATTCATGTATCATATTTTGTGCTGTAAACAACAACATCTATTGAACAGTAAGCCAATTAGCAGTAAACTGAAGACAAGTATCGGGGTTACTCTTGGCCAAAGGGGATATGAGGGTTGTAATTTTGATGTTTTCAACATGTGAGATTGCTGATGTTTAAGTATTTTCTTTGTTACTGAAATATTCATGTCTTAGATAAATTAATTCATTTTTAGGAAAGAACTTCTAGACTGGATTTCTTTGCTGATGTTGCGGTCTTTTTGAAACAGAAATCCAAAAGTCTCCAATCTTGACAGATTTGTACTGCCAGTCAAGGGATCCGCTCTCAGTTTGGAACTATATATCAAACGTTCTAGGTTGGATTTTTTGATGTTGCAGTATTTTTGGAAAAGTACTTCAAAGGTCTTCAATCTTGACACATTTGTAATGTCAGTCATTTAAATTTATTGTGTTCAGATTATCGAGTGGATCGTAATGGAAGAATCTCTGATATGATATACACCATTTGGGGTATTGCAATTTTTGCCAGTGTAGAACTGAAGATTATTTATTTCTGTTTCATTGTGTCGATCATCTTCATTGTCTACAAAATTGAGGCAATTACAATGATCTGGTCATTTTGTGGAACCAGGCCTATCCAAATAAAGTATTTTGGCTTAGGAGTGCTTTTGGTAATGGTTGAGTGTATATTATCAACCAACAATGTAAAAATATGAATTGAGTTTTGCAAAAGACCTTTCGTTTTCTTGTATTTGGGGATTTAAAGATTTCAGTAACTTTTTCATTCACCTTTAAAATTTCATCATTTGTGTTGATTGTGGTTGATTGTAAGTGCCAATACTGAAGAACGATAAATAATATTATCCTAAGATGTTGAGGGTTTGATTTGTATCTGATTTAAAAATAAATACAGCTTTATTTGCTACAGAGTAACAGTTTTTAATCAGGTCAGTTGTTTGTTACCATGAAGTAACATTAGCATTGGCTAAGTGTGCTGTCTAAGGGTATTCCAAACAAAATCAAAGTTACAACAATCACTTTCGATAAAATGATGATCATAAAGATCTTAAGGGACAATTACATTGCCATTTTGATTAAGTTTGACAATGCTTGTCATGTGATGATGGCGAAGAAATTTGTTTTGCTTATTTTAAACCTGTTACTCTTTATTAATTTTTCTCATTTCCCTTGTCACTGTAGTGGTTGTTCAAGCTCGATAGAGGTGTTGACACACAAAGCAACATTCTTGACATGAGACGATTAAGTTTAAAAACAGATGATCTGATGGAAAATGGGCGACAAAAATGACTTCCACCGGTACTTATAGAGAGGCTAAAAGTGTTCTTATCAATCATGAATGCACAATACATTACTGTTAAAAACAAATCTTTGATGTCTTAGAGCTGAAAGCTTATTTAGCATCTGCAAAGTGTCCCAGGGAGAGTACTTAAGCAATATGTGAGTATAGGTGAGCCACTGAGGGTTTGAAGCTCTGACCCTGTTTAGGACAAAAAATTCTATAATACATTACCCTCATTAGGACAACACCCTCACTTAGAACAAACGACAAAATGCACACAGTCCAGTTTTAGAGCTATTTATTGGTAATTGCAATAGAGTAAATTCACATTAATCTATAGTCACGGCTTTTGTATATATTTGGAGTACAAACAAATTTCATCAAGCAAATCAAATCAATCATAGGGGCAATTAGCCTCCCAGGCAGGCATATTTAGGGAAATATGACTCCCCTAAAAAGCTAGCAGACAGTACCCTGTTAATAATTAGGACATACTCTCACAGAATTATTTACCCTTTTTAGAACAGAGAGGACAAACACCATACAGTGTCCAGAGTCACATCCCTGTGTGGGCCATAATTATAAGGGAATAAACTCCCTGGGCTATGTTTCTTGCCTGTCTGTCATTTACCCAGACATCGGACACAACTTTCTTTGCACACTGTATCTTTTAATAAGGGCAGCACTAAATTACACTTGAATAAATCCACATAAATGTCCAAATTACCCACATAATGACTAGAATCATAAAAGGATGACTGTTTATCCCTGGATTTATACTCTGTTACAAGAATAATGCACTTATCACTTGTCATCTCAGGGGGTCAACCCTGGGGATATACAAGGGCATGATGCAGGATTTGTTGACATAATGCCAATTTTGAGCAAGCAATGGGGGTACAAAAAGTATGCTAAAAAAATTTTATCCTTTCCCATTCGATTAATTACAAAGTAAGCTGCACTTCATCATTTGCAGAAGACAGGTGCATTTATTTTTATTTGCTGACTCAACCTTCAACATTACCACTCTTTATTATATGGCTACAATGGTATGCACGCTGTTATTAGCTGCTAAGGGGGCAAGAGTTTCTTGTAATGACCAGGCATTACTAGCTAGGTGAACAATGCTTTTACAATCTGTGTTAAACTTAATGGGAGACATCCATGTTATGGTCAATTGACAGCTGTCAAAAAAGAGTATCAGCAGACCAGTATCACATGACTGTATCACTGGCTCTCATTGGGAAATATTCACCTTTTATAACTCAAACTAACTCAAATATGACATCCTCGCTGCGATTGATAAAGTGAGCGGAATTTTGTAAGACACCGCTGACAACCCGATGACTCATCTGGTTTAGGTCGATGTTCACTGGTGCTTTCCAACTCATTGAAGTGACGTGTTTTTTAAAGTTATATCCGCTGACCAGTTTTTGGTTTTAATTATTGATCCCAGGCTCGGGTCCATAATGAAAAGGCCATATAATAAATAACTTATTAACTTTGTCCATTCAGTCATTATAGGGAAATCTCAGACCTTGGCCTTGGTGTATGGCCCTGGTCTGAGATTTCCCTGTAATGACCTCACTCTCGGTTAAAAAGTGGTATATAAAAGAGTTATTTTTAATAACATAAGAAGAAAAATTTATTGCCGTTTGAAAGTCCCTTCTGTCTCCCCACAGGAGGGCTGATAGTAATTTTTCGTTCTTTGGTGGGGGGAGGGGGGTTAAAAACATCATTCGTCATTGTGCAAATAACCAGGGGTTCAGCTGGCTGATAAGTGCACAGTGCACTATACTCATTACAACTATTTTTTTTTCCAAAACTTGTATGCTTTAAAAATGTGCATGCCACATGGCAATTGAAAGGCACCACACATGTTGAAGGCAAGTATAATTTTATAAAAACTTCAACTGTTTTGTGAATGCTTATTGTGCAATTATGCCACCTGTGAAAAATTATAGTTAAGTTTTCCCTGAACAATGAATCATGCCCTGGTTTACATGTAATTCTACTAATAACAACATCAACAATATGTAAGCTTACCTATATTAAATTTCTGTTGACTAAAGTACAGCCAGTTCCCTTTAGTGTTAAAAGACTACTTATGAAAAACAGACGTTAGAAGTCCCTTTAGCTGTCTAAGAAGCTGCAATACATCACTCATATCTGGGCAGACGATATTGTCCATACCGGGACAGTTATGAGGTGTGCCATTTAACTTCAGAGTCAATGCCAATCCTTCAACTGCATCGTCCTTCGCTACAGCATTGATATCTCGACCCTCCATACAACTTTTGTAAGACACATGTTTCAGCAGAAGCTTAGCGATGTCGTCAACCTTCTTTAATCCCCTTTTTTGGAAAACCTTTATGGCCTCCGCACGCTCTTTTGCACGGCGCTGTTTAACCTCCTTTGCGAAAATGATGCCTTCAAGCATTTCATTGTAATTGCCTGGTTCGATTTCATCGAATAACTCATGCTCTTTGAGTTCCTTGAAAGATAAATAATTGATGGCACAGGAAATGCACTTGTTCTTTAAAAATTCTAAATTGTACTTCTGGGCCAGAATAAGCGTGCTCACAACATCCATTCCTTCACATGGCATCATATCGTCTATGAAATCTTCGCACTTGCGAAGAATCGAGTCGATTTGATACTCGTGAGCGAGTTCCAAGATATCCTTCCAGGTGTGGAGTGTTATTTCCTGCTTTGAAGGTGGATAAATCATTAACAGCAAAGTTTTAAAGCTGGATGCTTTTTTGCCAGGTAGCCGAATTTCACCCTTTTTCTTCTCGCTGAAATTCGAGGTGAACATCGCCTCGAAAACAGGAGACCACAGCGCGAGAACATTTCGATGAACGTGGAATCTTTTGTTTTCTACGAGGAAAACAATGTCGCTCGATTTCCAGGGCTTTGAAAAGTCGAGTACTGTAGCTTTCTTGTCTGTCCGCTTACGCTTAGATGCGCTGGCCATTCTTCTTTTCCTTCAGCAACAAAAGACAGCGAAAGACCTTTAACCACAACGATGGCGGACAAAGAGCGTGCGTTCCCGCGCTTTTTTCACTGTAGCCTCGATGCCAAGTATGTCTCCGAGACAGACTGGACATTAGGGGCGCTTTCCATTTAGTCAAAATTTCCGGAATTTCTGGTTCGGCGGTAAATGGAACACGTTTCGTCGGCTCGTCCCACTGGAAAATTCCCAGAAAAAGTGGAAAATCTGAAAAGGTGGGCCCGTTTTCCCGGTTGGAATTTCCGAACGGAATGTCGTGTTCCATTTACGTTTCTCGTAGTTTGTACCAGTTCCAGGTCCGCGGTCGGGCACTGCGACGTACCGGGATCTAAGACCAAATGGAACAACTTTTTACCAATCGGAAATTCCACTTTTGCTCCCACCGAAATTTCCGGGTTTTTTTCCTAAATGGAAAGCGCCCTGATCGCGGAGTCATCGCGGAGCACAAGCAAACAAAAAAGTTGAAACTTTCATAATTATGGCGACCTCCAAATCCTGAAGACAAAAACTAACACAAATGAACTATAACAACAAAACAGTAAAGTACAAAGCGACTTGCGTTTTTCCAATGTTTTTCGATATTTTCCCGTGGTGGGGCATTTGTCGATGCCATCTTCGAATTGAGCGAAATTTAA